TGGAAAAGGTGCAAATGTCTGGGAAAGCTGTGGCTTTTCTCTATTGCTTTCTTCTGGTACCTTCTCGGAGGAGAGCCTGACGGGGGAGCTGGGGACGGTCAGAGGCTGTTGCTCCCTTAGTTTGTAGTTGAAAGACACAGGCAGGCTGCAACCCCTGAAGAGGGCGGGGCTGTGTGCAGGTGCTGGCCGAACGCCCCCTCCCCCGCTTCGGAGCAGTTGCCTTTGGGGGACCCCCCTCACTCCTTTCCTGCCTGCCTCCAAAGCAGGTGTGGTGCGTTGGGCTTCCACTTCTTGGGTGTCGGGGGAGAGGATGACATCGCTTCCTCCGCACCTGAACTGAACTGGTTTCTGGGGAACCTCCAGAGGCTGGCCTGCCCAGAGGGTTCGCCAGCAAGTGCCCCTTCCCTCGCTCCCATTTTTTCTGAAGCTGGCTGGGGGGAGCTGTGTCCTGCTGCCTCAGTGACAAGAGCCCTGAGGACGGAACATGGAGTGGGGGGCAACTGCAGGTTTTGGGTGGTGTCTGTTTTCTTCTTGGAAGCAGGGATATGGGTCAGATGAGAGTTACGGAGCCTGAGGCCCAGTAGGGAGGAGGAGGATGGGATTTGCACTATCAGCTGTGCTAGGAATCCTAGGGGCCTGCCTCCTGCCTGGGGACACAGGTTGGCTTATACTTAGATTAGAGAAAGTTTAAAACCAGATCTCCCTCTCCTGCCCCCGGGCTCTTAAAGGTATATGTCTGAGCAGCTCCTTGGGCCCTTCAAAAACAAAGGTCTTAGGTGACCTTGTCCGAGGAGGGCTTCACAGGCATGGGATTTGAAATACAGTTTTCTAGAAGACTGATTTACTGATTGGTGATTGACTAGATTGACTCATGTTGAGAGATGGAAGAGGTCGTGGCTGGGAAACAGGCAGGGGACCTGGAGCTATGGGGTCTGTCATAGGACGGCGTGGCACTGGGCATCTGGCTTGAGGGTTGGCTGCTGTCTGCTTGTCACCTTCCCTGGGCTTCCACTTCTCCAGCAGACAGTCTGCCAAGCTGAGTGTGAGGACATGAGTTCTAATCTTGGCTCTGGCTCTGGGGTGAATCTTAGAGTGGGACGCGATGCTTAGTGGGGAGGAAGGAAAGGTTGGCTCCGCCCAGGGCATGTGGGCAGCTGCTTGAACGGTGTCTGTGAGAATCTGAACTACACACAGTCGTGGTTGGGAACAGGCTTTTAGGACCAGATCGCACTCGAATGGAGTGCGATGTCTCTCTTTTTTTAACCTCACCCAACATTTTTGCATTTATCTTCAGATGTGCGGGAGGGAGAGAGGGAGGAAGAGAGAGAGAGAGAAACATCGATGTGAGAGAGACACATCGACTGGTTGCCACCCACACACCCCAACCGGGGCCAGGGACAAACTGCAACTGAGGTACATTCCCTTACCGGGAACCGAACCCGAGACTCTCTGGTCTGCCGGCCGGCGCTCTAAGTGCTGAACTAAACCGGCCAGGGCGAGTGTGATGTCTCTTTACATCACTATCAAGTGATGTCTGCTTACAGCTCCTGCCCAGATTGTGCCTTGTTAGCTCTCACTTCCCCATTGGCTCCTCGTCCGCTCTTTTCCAGTCCTCCGTCCCAGGAGAGAGAGCCTTGTGATCCCGGGTCTCCTGGTCACTGCCCAGCTCTTCTCATCATCCAAGGAATGTGTAGTCTCACCTCAGGGCCACATGCTTTTCCCTTCTCCGTGACCGGGAATGCTTTGACCTGGAACCTGTATTTTATTCTGTTCTCACAGGAGGGTAAGGGTCATGTAGTAGCAGGTCTAGAAATAACCGTAAGGAATCAACACTCAGCCCTTTTACCTCTATGGGCTTTTGTGGGGTAAGTGAATGTCCATTAAAAACCTTGATCTTCCAAGTCTTAATATGTCCCCCATGGCTGAAGCTGAGGCAAAGCCATGGCATTCAGGGCTGTAACTAATCCTTTGCCTGTGGTCCTGGCCGGTGTGAAATCCTTTAGGGAGGCAGGAGAGCATGCACACTGGAGCCCGAGTGCAGATGCAGGCTCTACCACATGCTACTTCTGTGGCCTCAGTTTCTGCATCTGTAGAATGGGGATAATAGTAGTATCTACCTCAGAGTTTTTACAAGATATAAGTGGCTTGTAATGTCTATGACGCTTAGAACATTTTAGCTGTTAGGCTTGGTTTTAGTCCCAGGAGGCTTTGGGCAGGGCACTACTTTGAAAATATGAGCTTGGTTTGCTATGTTTATGGCAGGTGGCTATATTTAATCAGAGAAAGTTTCTCCAAGTAGTAAAGATGCTTTAGTTTCTGAGCTTGAAGTGTGCTTATGTTGCCATGGGGTCCCAAAAGAGTGGCCCTCAGAAGGCACCTTTTAGAGGTAAATCTCCCTGAGAAGGGGCGTGGGGAGTACGGTGGTGGGGGCTGTGATCTGGCTGGCTGTGAAATCCATTTGTTGGGCCCTTTTTATTAGCATCCCCTAGGGGTTGACTGACCCCAGGTCTGATCTGGGAAAGGTCTTAGGCCATAAGTCCCTGCCCCAGGGTTCCAGCCGGGCCTGATGGAGAGGGAGGGGGGGGAGGGATGGGGCAGTGTGCAATGTGCTTTGAAGGACACGGGAGCCCCGCAGGGCTGGGGGTTAGGGCTGGGGCAGGGCGTGGGGCTGTCTTTCTTTGTGCTGAAGTGACATGGCATTCCCGTGCCGGCCGACTGTAGAAGGGCCTAGCTGGTCCACTCTAAAGGCTCTTTTGAAAAGGGAGGAAAAGCAGCAGTCCTGCCTTTCCCAGGGGGCTCTCCTCTGAGATGCTCAGTTTCAACCAGGTGACCTGTTCATTCATCCTCCTTTTGTTGCGCCTGAAGGGAGGGAGAAGGCAGGACTGGCTCTAGCGCTGCCACTGTGTCCTCATCTGCAACATGGGAGGCTCACGCAGAGCACCCCCGCTGAGACACACAACGACAGAGCCCTGTGCTCAAGAGGGTCCTTGCTGGGCTAGTATGGATGGCTAGTAGGTCTCCATCCTCCAGACTTTAGCTCAGCAGAAGCACTAATTTGTTCATCATCAGTATTCATTTACCAGATCATCCTTTTTTTTCAATCCTCACGCAAGTACATTTTTGCATTTTTTTTTCAGATAGAGTGGGAGGGAGAGAGGGAGGAAGAGAGAGAAGAACATCGATGTTAGAGAGACACATCGACTGGTTGCCACCCACATGACCCAACCGGGGCCGGAGATGAACCGCAACAGAGGTACATGCCATTAGCGGAAACCGAACTCGGGACTCTCTGGTTCGCAGACTGACACTCTGACCACTGAGCCAAATTGGCCAGGGCTGCCAGATCATTACTAAGGCCCCTGCCCTTAGGTCACTTACAGTCTTGGATAGGGGGTCTCAAACTAGTCATAGTCTCTCATGCAGTGAGTGCTAGAGTAGGTGTAGCCGTGGGATGCTGAAAGATTATGTTAAAGGTGCCCCAGGTTTGCTTTCTGGGAAAGTTTCTAGAGGGGGGAGTGGCTTCTAATCTGAAGCTGAGGGTTGGGTGATGCTGGTTGAGGGGTGCTGGTATGTCATGGGATGGATGGGGAGGAAATAATGCCCAGGCATAGAGAATGTTTACAAAAGCCAGAGCTCGGGCTGTTGGTACAAGTTGGGGCACTGGTTCCAGGTTGGGGCAGAGGCACAGAAAACCAGGGGACAAATTCATAGTTATCGGAGTGATGACACCTTCTAGATCCTTATCCTCATAGCTATAGTCTGTGGTTTGGTGGCTTCTGAGACCTAGAACCAGGGGCAGGAGGCTTTGGGTCAGTGGAGGTGGGAGGGATGCTCTGGAGCTTTTTCCCATGGAAACAGCAATCAAATGTACATTCTGGAAAGCGGTGTGGTGAGCTCTGGTCCTCTGGGGCAGAGGTGGAGCGTCTGTGTTCTCCAAGGCCACCCCCCCTCCCCTGACCAGCTGTCCCTGGGAGCTGCACCATCTGCTCAGGGAATAAAGTCCACCTGAGGCTGTTCGCTCCCTCTGGGAGCAGCTTCCTGCAGCTGTGCGGCCCTGACTGGCTGTGCTGAGGGAGACTCTGGTGGCTCCGCCCTGGGGAATTTCCGGGGCCCTGGGAGCCAGGGTGAGTCAGGGGTTGTACCTGGTGCTGGGGGTGGGGTTGGGGTAATGTGGGCTCAGCCTTTGTACCATCTCCTCTGCCTTCTCTGTCAGTATCCAGAAGTTTCCAGGTTTATGGTATAGCCACTGATGCCCCCGAGATTTTGCAACTTGGGGAGACTCTTACCCTCTGGCACGCATGTTGTCCTAGAGTATAAGAGCCAGATCTTTGCTTGCCCTGGTCTGGTGGCCCCCGCACAGGCCCTGACAGGTGGGCACCTGGGAAGTGCTTTATAACAACTACCATTAGCATCACTGTTTTGACGGTTTATGGAGCCCTTGCCCCGAGCCAGGTGCGCGGAGCCGGGAGGACACGGCACTGCGGCAGATGGTGAGGAGCTGAGGCTCTGACAGGCTAGGTACTAGGGGTTCCAGCAGAAGGCACCCCGCTGTGGCTCTGGCAGAGTATCTTCTCTGCTCTTCTGGGGCCTGGTTTTCTGAGCCCTGATGGGCCCTGCGTGTGGTCCACCTTTCTTCCACCCTGGAAAGACGGAGGTGGAGCTGTAAGGAAGGAATGTTATTGGGAATCCTCGCAGATGCTCCCAGGATCAGAGGGAAGGGACTTCCTGGGGTTCAGAGTTGCTGTTTGAAAAATAGTGGTAAAATTGTTTTTAAATTAAGATAAAATTAGCATTTTAACCATTTTTAAGTGGCATTAAGTCCATTCGCATTGTGCATTGGTCACCACCAATCCATCCACAGGACTTGTATCTTGCGACACTGAAACTCCATCTATTAAACAACAACTACCCGCCCCACCCACCCACCCACCTGTGGATGCTACCCTTTTACTTTCTGCTTCTGTCCGGACTCAAAGTTTGGCGTTTTGTCTCCTGCCCAGAATCCCCCCGGAGTGCCCCCGCCAGGCAGCGATGCCAGGATGCCCGTCTCTGCCTCTCTCCGCCAGGACGGCAGCCAGGAGCGACCCGTGAGCCTGACCTCCAACGTGAGCCTGACCTCCAACGCGTCCTCATCAGGCTCCTCTCGAGACAGCCGAGGCACCATGGAGGAGCCCAGTGGCCCTGAGCCCTTGGCCACGAACGGGGCAGGCTCCCCACGCAGCCGGCACCCCCCGAACAGTAACAACAACTCCAGCAGCTGGCTGAACAGGAAGGGACCCCTTTCCCCATTCAACAGCCGGGCAGCGGCGGCGCCGGGGCACAAGCTGAGCTACCTGGGCCGCGTGGTGCGGGAAATCGTGGAAACGGAGCGCATGTACGTGCAGGACCTGCGCAGCATCGTGGAGGTGAGGCCTGCGGCGGGGGAGGGGAGCACCTGCCCACTTCCTCTCGGGCCAGCCTTGGCCGCCCACTCTCTCGAGTAAACCCGTGGCCACCCCAAGGACAGTTCTCTCTGACATTTTCATCCCGGAAGCTCTGCTTCCATGGGCTGGTGGGGAATCCTAACATCTCCCACCCCGGGGAAGCTGCACACTGCTCACTCAGACCAGTCGCTCCCACCAGCAGAACACACTGCAGGTCCCCAGGGAGTAGGCACCCTTGGCAGGGACGGAAGGGACCCCTGTGCTCTGGACCCTGCCTGTCTGCACCCAGATCCCTCCTCTGTTGTTTCTGGTTGTGGGGTCTTAGCTCCGGGGTAACACCCAGAGCGGCAGGTCCCTCATTTGTAAAATGAAGATGCCCCTGCCTCGCAGGGCTGAGTAGGTGAAGCGTTGCCCACGGTGCAGGGCACAGGAAGGTGGCAGTGTGGCTGCTGCCCTGGAAGCCGGCAGCCGCGGAGGGAGGTGTACTGGTTTTCCAGGGCTGTTGTAACAAATTACCGCAATGCAGGGTTTAAGACGCAGGAATTCATTCTGTCTCGGTTTAGGAGGCCAGAAGGTAGAAACCAAGAGGTTGGCAGGGCTGTTCCTTCTGGAGGCTCCGAGGGGGGATGTGTTCCAGGCTTCTCCTAGCTTCTGGTGGTTGCTGGCCTCCTCGGCGTTCCTTGGCCTGTAGATGCGTCACCCCAGGCTCTGCCTCCCTCTTCACATTGTCTTCTGTCTCTTCGTGTCCCCTTGTAAAGGACACTGGTCATTGGATTTAGGGCCACCCTGAATCCAGTACGATATCATCTTGAGATCCTTAACTGGTTACATCTGCAAAGACTCTATTACCAAAAAGGTCACGTTTGAGGTTCCTAGTGGGTGTTAATTTTTGGGTGGAACTCTCCAACCCAGTATAGTAGGTGATAAGGCAGTAAAACGAGGTACAGAAATGAGGCGTGGAGGGGGCCCAGGGTCGTGCCAGGAGGGGCTGGGCTCTGATGCCTCTCTCCACGCAGGACTACCTCTTGAAGATCATCGACACACCCGGGCTGCTGAAGCCAGAACAAGTCAGCGCCCTCTTTGGGAACATAGAAAACATCTATGCACTGAACAGGTAGGAGTGGGCCTGACATGCACTTTGTTCCCCCTGTGAGCCCCATCTTGGACCTAGGGGTCCTGGATGTCCCTGGTCCTGTGGGCCCTGGTCTGTGAGGGTGGGAAGGGTGGCCCATCACTGTACAATATGTAGTTAGCCCCCTGCAGGGGAGAGGGCGTGTGGGGCCATGTATCTGAGGCCACGTGCTCGTTGGGTTCAGCCTGGGCCAGTGCCCCTCAGAGGACTGTGGGCCCTTGACTGATGCTCTTCCCTCTGTCCCTTGTGGCCTCTTTGTCCTCTCATCTATGTCTCCCACTTGCACATCTCTTAATTTCTTCTCCATCTTCCTGTTACCACTTGGGAAGTCAGGGCTCCTTGGAGGTGATCTCACCCATTAGGGGAGCACAGGTCAGGCCAAACATGATGGGGGAGGCTGAACAAGACCTGGCAAGGGGCTGCTTCCGGGCAGAGGGGCCCCTCGAGGACCCACAGTGTGCTGCCTGGGCCCATAGATGCCCCAGAGGAAGGGCGCTGGTCAGGAGGAGCGGAGTTTGAAGGACCAGTGTTGGTAATTCAGGAGGAACCTTACCTCAGGCCCTTTAAGATGGGCAGGGAGACTTCCTGCTGTGTAAGCTGGAGACCGCTGGGAGGGTTGGGAAGAGGGGGGAGCACCCTTTCGAGGGTTTCCTATAGTGCCCCCATCTAAGAAGGGGTGCTGGGACTCATCTCTTTCCTTTTACTGCCTCCTTTTGAACTGGGGGCCTTGGTTCTTTTGTGAGTCCCTGTCTCTTCTTTCTCCTTTAATCTCTGCTTTTGTGTATTTGACTCCTTCTGCCTGCAGAGGAGCCGTGTCCTCCTGAGGTGGGTACTGGTGTCCCTTCTTCCTCTTGCTGAGCATGTGGGTCTCCTTTGCTGCCCATTTTTGCAGTGTGGCTGGATGCTTTCTGTGGTTGCTGCCCTGGGCAGGGCTCACTTTGAGAATAGAAGCCCCAACTCTTTGGCATGACACCAGGGCTGGCTGTGTATCGTGTATCTGGGCACCAGGAGGTTGGGGAGGGGGCATGGTGTGTTGGGAAAAGTGGAGGCCTTGAGGGGTCCAGGGTCTGATGACCACTCTCCCTCACCCAGCCAGCTACTCAGAGACCTGGACAACTGCAATAGTGACCCCGTGGCTGTGGCCAGCTGCTTTGTGGAAAGGGTAAGAAGGGCTGGGTCCTCACCTCTGCCCTCTTCTGCTGGGGGCTCACTGGGACGGGAACTCTCGCCTTCATGGGGCATCTGAGCCCTGGGTACTCCTCCAGGTGTCCTGTCTGGAATGAGGAGGGTCTTCTGGGTGCAGCCAGGAGTTGCTGGGTGGAGGGCATATTCCAGACAGATGGGTAGAAAGATAGATTTGCAGACACTCAGGAAAAGGGGGACAGAGTTGCTCTGGGGACCAGGGACATGTCTTTGGTATACCTGGGTTTACATGTCAATGGGAGTCTCCCTGAAATCACTATTTTTTGTTTCTGTTTAGAGTCAAGAGTTTGATATCTACACCCAGTATTGCAACAACTACCCCAAGTGAGTAATTGGGGTGGAGAGGGGAGGCTGATCCATTTGGTGAGTCTGGAGCACCCCACCTCCCCATCTAGGCCTTCCCAGGTGGTGACAGCCCCTTCCCACTCCCAGCTCGGTGGCCGCCCTGACGGAATGCATGCGGGACAAGCAGCAGGCCAAGTTCTTCCGGGACCGGCAGGAGCTGCTACAGCACTCACTGCCCTTGGGCTCCTACCTGCTAAAGCCAGTCCAGCGCATCCTCAAGTACCACCTGCTGCTCCAGGTAACCCAAGGGTCCTCTGAGTACAGGGGTGGCTGGGGGATGGGTGGACTCTTGAGTCTGTGGGCTGTCTAAGCCCATGGGTCCCATGCAGGAAATTGCTAAACATTTTGATGAGGAAGAGGATGGTTTCGAGGTGGTGGAGGATGCCATTGACACCATGACCTGCGTGGCCTGGTACATCAATGACATGAAGAGGAGGCATGAGCACGCTGTTCGGCTCCAGGTGCCCGGGGCTGGTGATGGCAGGAGCATGCCAGAGTGGTTGGGGGTGTGGGGCTTGGAGAAGGAGTCTGGCCGCCCTGCGGTGGTTAGCTGAGGGGTGGTCTCCGTGTGGGGCAGGCTTCTGTAGGGAACTCAGCAGTGGCTGGATTTTCAGGAGCTTTCTGGAGACCTGTAGGGTCCCCAGCAAGGTGATGAGAATCCTGACCCTTGGGGTTGGGTCTTCTCTGCTGCAGGAGATTCAGTCGCTGCTCATTAACTGGAAGGGGCCGGACCTGACCATCTACGGGGAGCTTGTCCTGGAGGGCACATTCCGCGTGCACCGTGTGCGGAATGAGAAGACCTTCTTCCTCTTTGACAAAGCGCTGCTCATCACCAAGAAGCGGGGCGATCACTTCGTCTACAAGGGTCACATCCCGGTAACCAGGCTGCTGCCATCTCCTCCGCCCCTTCCCTCCTTGCCCTCTTCATGGCCCCACGGCAGTGTGGGCGCAGCTCCCTCCCCCTGTGATCACTCTCCCTGCCTGCCCAGACGACCTCGAGGGGCTGGGGCCCAGGTTAGCTCCTTCGCCGTCCTTGTGCTTGACTGCCCTCTCCCTCCGCCCCAGTGCTCCTCCCTGATGCTGATCGAAAGTACCAGAGACTCCCTGTGCTTCACCGTCACCCACTATAAGCACAGCAAGCAGCAGTACAGCATCCAGGTGAGGGGCGGGCTGGGCCGGGGACTGGGGCTGGGCCACACCTGCCTCTCCCACCCCTGAGCTGCGCTGAGCCTCGGGGTCTCCCTCTGGAAGCCAGAAGTCATTGTGGGCACCTCTCAGGTGCGTGCTGACGCCTCCGAGTGATCTCGTAGAGGCCAGCTTTCCACCTCCACCTCCGCCCTGCTCACACGCTCGGCCCACGTCATGTGCCTTCAGGCCTGTGATAACCCCTGGCCCCTCCCTTGGCTCCTCCCAGGCCAAAACAGTGGAGGAGAAACGGACCTGGACTCACCACATCAAGAGGCTCATTCTGGAGAACCACCACACCACCATCCCACAGAAGGTGCTCTCCTGGGGCGCCCCCACCCCAGCTCCTGATGGGGTACAGGGAGAGGGTGTCCTTCAGAGCCAGCTGTGGGGTCCACCAGGGCCTCGTTCTCTGGACATTGACTCCACAGAGCAGCTGGGGTCAGTTCAGCAGAGCACTGTGGGGCGTCCTCACGCAGCAAGAGTGAGTGCACGCGGGGAGGCACGGCACCTGGCCAGGCCGTAACCGGTGGGCTTCTTCCCTTCCAGGCCAAGGAAGCCATCTTGGAAATGGACTCCTGCTGTGAGTGTGCCCTTTCTGCTGCTCTGCCCCAGACTGTGCGTCCGTCTAGGTCAGGTTGCAGCTGGGGGGGCAGGGAGTACCAGGGAGCTCCTTGAGTTACGGCCTAGGCTCTCCTGTGAGCCCAGGGGCATGGCGCTGCTGATGGGTGGGCTTGGTGCCTGTGCTCCCAGTGCCCGGTGCTCCCAGTGTCCTGTGCTCACAGTGCCCGGTGCTCCCAGTGTCCTGTGCTCACAGTGCCCGGTGCTCCCAGTGCCCGGTGCTCCCAGTGTCCTGTGCTCCCAGTGCCCGGTGCTCCCAGTGTCCTGTGCTCCCAGTGTCCTGTGCTGCCAGTGCCCGGTGCTCCCAGTGTCCTGTGCTCCCAGTGTCCTGTGCTGCCAGTGTCCTGTGCTGCCAGTGTCCTGTGCTCCCAGTGCCCGGTGCTCCCGGTGTCCTGTGCTCCCGGTGCCCGGTGCTCCCAGTGCCCTGTGCTCCCAGTGTCCTGTGCTCCCAGTGTCCTGTGCTGCCAGTGCCCGGTGCTCCCGGTGTCCTGTGCTCCCGGTGTCCTGTGCTGCCAGTGCCCGGTGCTCCCAGTGTCCTGTGCTCCCAGTGTCCGGTGCTCCCAGTGTCCGGTGCTCCCAGTGCCTGGTGCTCCCAGATGGAGTTTCATGGAAGAGGGAGAAGAGGGAGCTTTGGAGGCCTCTGGCCCCTGGGGTTGGGGTGGACAGCAGAGGTGTGGTTGGGTATGGTCAGAGTCTAGGCCAAGGCTGTTAGTGTCCCAAAGGCCTCATTGTCTCTCCTGGGTGCAGATCCCAATCGGTACCGCTACAGCCCAGAGCGCCTGAAGAAGGCTTGGTCCTCCCAGGATGAGGTGTCCACCCACGTGCGCCAGGGGCGCCGGCAGTCTGGTAAGGGAAGGGCTAATGGGCAGAGAGACACCTTCATAGGATCCTTGACCAGGCGGAGGACCGTCTGCAGCAGCATTTGGGGCTGGCTCTTACCTCCCGAAATCCTGTAAGGGCAGGGTGGGCGTGTGCAGAGCGTCCGCTCTGTGCTGCCCTCCACCAGGCGCCTTCTCACCCCCTTCCCGCGGCCCTCAGAAGGCCGTGCACTCAGGCCGTGGCGCCTTCTCAGCCACCTTCCCGCGGCCCTCGGAAGGCCGTGCACTCAGGCCGTGGCGCCTTCTCGCCCACCTTCCCGCGGCCCTCGGAAGGCCGTGCACTCAGGCTGTGGCGCTTTCTTGGCTCCCCTGCGATCTCAACCTCCCTTCTTCGCTGCTCCCAACACTGGGAGTCAGCCAGGAGCAACGCTCGCCCGGACGTCATGGGCGGGCCCCAGCCCAGTCGTGGAACAGAGCAGAGGCAGGACGTGGGGGAAACAAGTTAGACTTCAAGTGGCATCAAATCCAGACGGGAAATATTTACTTTGGGTCTCAGGGAAAAGTTCCATTTTCCTCTCCTGGGTTTTCCATGACTGGGCTTGCTACTATGTACTTGGAGTTACTGGAGTGAATCGTCTGTTGAAAAGAGAAAACCTTGCTTTTATTCCTAGCTCTCCTGGTGATGAGTGTGTTTTGTACATCTGTTTTCACGCTGCCCTCAGTCCGAGGCCCAGGGACCGATTTGGCTTCAGCCAGGTCTCTGCCAGACATATTCATGTGGTAGGGGGTGGGGTGAGAAATGTCTGAGAGACCCCTGGAGAGATTCGGGCGTGAGTGGGAGTGGTGTCCTGGCTTGGATCTCCACAGCGCACTGGGCTCTGATTGGCCGTGACGCAAGGGTCCCTTGAATAACTGTGTGGATTGATGCGTGAACCGAGTGATCTCTGGAAAGCGTTTGGGTTTTATTTTGTTTGGTATTGCTCCCAGTGGATCTTGAACCCTAGGCAAACTTGTCACAGTTGCAGAATTTTATGTTGCCATATGTTAAAAGCCCCAAATGGGTGGTGGTAACGTTGTAAGTCTCCAACTTCCTCTTTTCCTTTCCTTTCATCTGTAATCCTCTTCCTGTTCCTCCAGCACTCCCCCTTCACCTGCTGTCGCTTTTTTTTTTTAATTTTTGTTTTTCTTTATTAGCGAGAGGGAGAGAAACATCGACGTGAAAGGGACACATCGATTGGCTGCCACCTACATGACCCCAACCAGGGCCGGGGACAAACTGCCACTGAGGTTCATGCCCTTAGCAGGAACCGAACCCGGATCTCTCTGGACTGCAGGCCGACGCTCTAACCACTGAGCCAAACCGGCCAGGGCTGCCATCACTTTAAGTCGGAGGCTCCCGGCACATGGCCATGTTCAGTGAGTGACGGCGGTGCTGGTAGTAGTGATACTCTCTGTCATGTCAGCATCCAGACTAGCTCTCAAAGCACTTATGAAATGAGCCATTTTAGAGCTTACGTTTCCATGTGGCTGAGATTTTAGCCTGGAAACTCTAAAAGAGTTGGGTATCATTTGTGTGCTTGTTTTTGTGTTTTAGTTTTAACTATTATGAAAGAGACATCTTTCTAAAATCAGACTTCAGATTCTTTTAAAATAGAGGATGCTGGCCACAGTGAACTCCTTTTCCGAAGTCAGTGCAGGGGCCTCGCTGTGGGATAGGAACTGCTAGGCTCTCCAGGCCTGGGGGGAGGGGGGCAGGGGGCATGCGTTGCCGTGGAGACAGCTGTGTGCCATGCTGTGCCCATCTTTATGCCGACGAGTGTTTGTTCTTGTCTGATGTAGTGTGCTTGCCTGTAGTATCCCTTCTTCCCCCTTCGATGTGTTGGAAATCAGTCTGTTGAAGGTGTGGGAAGCATGTGTAAGAGCAGGCCAGGAAGTAGTTGAGAGGGGAGGACGCGAGGGCCTGCTCTCAGCCAACTGATCTGGCTGCCTCTGGGCCTTTTCTGCTTCCTACTTCCAGAGAATGGGCAGATAAGTAAAATTTATGGACACGTAAAGTACTACATTAAAATAAAATTTATGGACACGTAAGGTACTACATTAATACTTGACACTTATTAAATGGTCTTGATTGTACGTTCTAAAATGAGAGTTGAGTGTTTGTTGAAAACAATTGGATGTTTACTTATATTGTGCAGTGTGTGTGTGTGTGTGTGTGTGTGTGCACACTTCTTGCTGAAAAGTTTTTCTGTATGTTCCTCTGCCCAGGAACAGTTAAGAGACCTCGGTAGATTTTCCCTTGGCTACAAGTTTATCGTGGGCCTCCCACTTAAATGCCAAGGACAGTATGGGCCAAGACCAAGGCTCTATAGACAGGTCCCTTGACACATGTCCTCTTGCTCCTGCCGGCCTGTCTCAGGTCTGTCCCCAGAAAGGCTGGAATGCAGGGTGGGGACCATCAGCCTAATGGATGTGTTTTGTGTCCTGTCCCCAGAGCCTGGTCAGCCCCTGTGCAGCCGGGCAACACTCCCCAGCAGGCAGCGAGGCATCGTGGTGCCAGGCCTTGAGGGCCGTAGAAAGTCGGGTGCGACCTCTGCTTCCAGCTGGGGTGCTGAGGGGGCTTGGCCTGGGCTGTACCTACGGTGCAGATGTGCTCATTGCAGGGAAGGTGGGGCTTGAGGTGTGGCCTGGACCTCCAGACCTAGGGCTAGTTGGCCTGAAGGGGGCGGTGTGGGCTGTGGCTCCTTGGGTGAGCTGAGCCCAGGACGGGGGGAGTGGGCCTGCCTCCCTCTATGGGTAGGTGTGTGGGCTGTCTCCTTTAGGGCCCTTGGGTGGAGGGCAGGCCCCAGTGAACTTTGAGCTGGTGATGGGCTGGTGGCGCTGTGGGCTTGGGAGCAGGCCAGGCCCAGCTAAACCGGCCCACACTGACAGCCCATTCGCTCTCCTCCGCAGAGCCAACCAGGCACCTGCTCAGGCAACTCAGCGACAAAGGTGAGTGTGAGGGGTGACAGCCATTAGGTGAGCTCTAGGGCAGGGGCAGGAAGGTGACAGAGGTAACCATCTGGGTGGGGGTGTTGAGGACAGTTTGAGGGGACTCTGTCTCGATTCCTCCCGGGAAGTGGGCCTTGCCCCTTGCCATCTAGGGAGGAGACTTGAGCCCCCACCCCCCACTCCTCTGACCCTGTCCTGGGGCAATAGCAGGAGCAAGTGACACACACACACACACACACACCTGCTCCTGTTCTGTCATTCCTTGGGAAGGTGAAGGTTCTGGGAATAGCAGCCCCCAGAGAGGTCTTTCCCAGGGGACTCTAGTCCTCTGGCCACTATGAAGAGGCTCTTTCTCCTGTTTACTCATCTCCCCTCCCTTCCCCCTCCCCCATGTGCTGGGACTCCGTGGTGGTGGCAGCAGCCAGAGTGGCAGGAATGAAGGTAAGGCTGTGGGCAGAGGGACTGGCCGGGTAGAGGAGGGGGCCTGCCCAGGTCAGCCCCTGGCCCCGTCAGCCCTCATTGTCTCCATTCACTTAACAAATACCTACAAGCACCTCCTTGCACCAGGCCCTGTCATCAGGGTCGCCGATGAAGGAGCCGTGGCCTCTGCCCCAGTGACCCTTCTGTACCCTTTTCCTGGAATGGCACCCTGGTGGTGGCCTGGCCAGCCTGGATCATCTCTTATTTTTCCCTCTCTCTGGGGCAGGCAGGCCTCTCCGGGGCTGGAGTTCCTAACCCAGTCCAAGCTTTCCCAGGTCCCAACTTCCTACCATGAGAACCCTCCCCCTGCCCCCTCCCCCCACCCCACCCCCTCCAGTGCTCACTGGGCACCAGTGGAGACCAGGGGTTGGGATCTAGATGGGGATCTCTGTATAAAGCCTCCCACCCCCAGCCACAGGCAGGAGGAGGGGTGTTGCCCAGAGGCGGTCACGAGGGCTCCTGTGCTCTGACCAGCATGCAGGCAGTGCTGGCGCTCTCCTGGACTCCGGGCCGCCCTCCCGTGCTCGGGCCCTGCAGCCGGAGGCTCAGGGGGCTGCCCGGGAGGAGCAGGAGGAGGAGGAGCAGGAGGAGGTGGTGGAGGAGGACGAGGAGGAGGAGGCCTTTCAGGTCACTCTGGAGGACCTGGCAGGGCGAGAAGGCAGCAAGAAGGGGTCTGGGCCAGAGCCCCCAGGCTCAGAGGAAGAGGAGGAGGAGGAGGAGAGCCTGGCAGTGGCGGAGCAGGTAGCCGACTTTGCCAGCTCCCTGCTGGCCGCCCTCCACTGCTGGCACTATCGGGCCAACGCTTTACTTTTCTCCCGGGGTGCTATGGTGAGGTGTCTCTTTGATCTCCCCTCCTCCTTGCATGTTCCCTGGCATGTGCAAGCTCATGTCCATCCTAGAGTCCCCTCCCCTGCCCCCTCCACCCCTCTGGCCTCGTTCCTTTACTTCTGCCATCAGCACTTCTTAACCCCTCACTGTCACGCCCTGGTGAGCCCCTGGCATGCACTGTTCCAGTACTGGGCGTCAGCTAGCATGCCACCCAGCACGCATGACTAATGGGGTGGGGGTGGTGGGGAAGGGGCGAAGGGAGCACACAGCAGGGCTAGAAGGGTCAAGGGGGTTGGGCTTTTCTGAGGCCACGTGCCTGGCAAGGATCTGTGTCCCCAGACCTGGCAGTTCAAGTGGACTCTGGAGTGGCTCAGGTCCAAGGCTGGCCTTCAGCAAAGCCCCCCCCAGGGCTCAGAAAGTGGCCCGTGTTGGGATGCAGAAGGGACCACCTCCCAGTTGTTCTGGGAGCTGACGACTGCCCTCTGCTTGCTGCAGGGGAAGGGGCGCAGGGAGTCTGAAGGCCCCAAGAGCTGCAGGAGGCCCGGCGGCCGGTCTCCAGCCAGTGCTGAGAAGTGCATGAGCTTCGAGTCCGTCTCCTCCCTGCCTGAGGTGAGTGCCAGCAGGCAGGATAGTGCACAGGTGCCTGGAGCCCAGATCTCCGGGTCTGCGGGTGGGCTTTCAGACATGGGCCGTCCCATTGGTCCCATGGGAACAGGACTCGTGCCCCTCAGGAAGCCGGTCTGGTCTGTGGCACATGGTTTGGTGAGCAGACTGCCCTTTTCTATGAATTAGGAAGAGGTGCTCCTTCCTTTGGGCAGATGTAGTCCTTTGCGAAGGGAAACAGCAAAAGTGACCCGATTTTATGTCCTCTCAGCCAGGCCTCCTTGTGCAGGCATAAGGCCCTGCCCCTGCCAGCAGGCCAGAGGTTTAAGTCACACCTGAGCCCACTGGGGCAACGGGTAGCCTATTGATACCCACCTCACACCTCCTACATGCCTGATGTTCATGTATCCGTCTTCTCTGCGACAGCTCTAGCGGGGAGAAGGAGGCTCAGAAAGGTTGAGTGATGTGCCTGACACTGGGCAGCATCTGAGAGGCAGAGCTGAGATCATGACTCAGAATCCCACACTCTTCTTCCCGCCCCGCACCCCCTGCCCCCACGCTGCCTGGAACGGAGGCCTTTGCTTTCCCAAAGTTATAAGAAAAATGTGTTCACGAGGCCTAGACCCCCGGGTGGGCCTCACAGCCAGGATAAGACTAGGTGACATTGGATAAAAGTCTAGAGTGGTGCTGTCCAGAGATAACAGAATGCAAGCCACACATGCAATTGTATTACTTTTATTTTTATTTTATTATTATTTTAAAATGTGTTTTTATTCATTTTAGAGAGAGGAAGGGAGAGGGAGAGAAATAGCAATGTGAGAGAGAAACATTGATCGGTTGCCTCCTGCATGTACCCTGAGCAGGGACCGAACCCGTAACCCGGGGATGTGCCCTGTCTGGGAATTGAACCGGTGATCTTTTGGTGCATGAGATGACCCTCAGCCAACTGAGCCACACTGGCCAGGGCCATGTGTGTAATTTTATTTTATTTTTTTTTAAATATGTTTTTATTGATTTTTTCAAAGAAAGAGGAAGGACGGGAGAGCGAGAGAGAGAAACATCGATGTGACAGAGAAACATCCATTGGCGGCCTCCTGTACGCCCCCCACTGGGGATCAAGCCTGCAACTCAGGCTTGAGCCCTGACTGGGAATTGAACCAGGACCTCCCAGTCCATGGGACGACGCTCAGTCCACTGAGCCACACCAGACAGGCCACATGTGTAATTTTAAATTGTCTAGTAACCACATTTAGAAAATCATTAGCCCTTGCCTGGTAGCGCAGTTTTCCCTCCCCCACCCCCCTGCTCTTTCCCCCTTTCTCCTTCTCCCCTTTCCTCTCTAAAATAAAGGAAAAAATAATTTAATCCAGCAAGTCCAAATTGTTATTTCAATATGTGATCAATATGAAAAGCTATGCATGAGATGCTTTGTACTCTTCTTTGTATGAAGTTTTTGCACTCCGGTGTGTATTTTACCCTCACGCTGTTTGCAGTGCGGACTAACCACGCTGCAGTGCTCAGAAGGCACGGAGCCGGCGGCTACTGCTGCCGGACGGTGCCGGCTGAGGTCGTGGGCCCTGCTTCCCATTCTGGACTAGATCATGGGAACCAAGTTGATTGCTCAGAATGTAGTGTTTGCTCTTACCTTCTTCCCCTGGCCTCTCTGGAAAGCTGCCTGTACCAGCCAGTTTTGTGGTTCATGTGACTTATAAGGTGGTCAAGAGGGAGCCCTCAGATTTGCTCCCCTCCTTGCCCATCTGCTGGGCATATGTAGGGTCATTCGCAGGAGCCGCGTCCCTGTCTCGCCCTCTGACAGGATTCCCACATGTGGTCTTGCTGCCCTCTGGACCCCGAGCCACACGGAGGCCCTGGCCCCCTCAGGGAAGTTGGAGTGGTCTCTTCTGCAGCTCAGGCCTGGGTTTGGACCTAGAACAGCACCTGTGTGGGGGCCTCTAGGGCAGAGGGAGCTGCTCCTATTGGGCAGAGAGAGCAGCTGCCACGGCTCCACCCTGTGCTCACACGTTCCTGTCGGTCCCTGTAGCTCCCAGACGCTGTCACAGAGGTGCCGCCACGCCCCCTGTTCCTATTCCTAGAATTTTCTTTGGGTTCGAGGACGTGGGCCCAGCACCCTAGCTGCAAGGTCACTCAGGGTCAGCATTACCTTCCTGTCCCCAACACCCGAGGCCTCTCTCACTAGGCCTTGAACAAGCCACGGTGCCCCCTCCCCCAGGTCTCACACGAGCTCTCTGTGCCCTCCTAGGTTGAGCCAGACCCCGAGCCTGGGGCAGAGCAGGAGGTGTTTGCTGCCGTGGAAGGTCCCAGCGCTGAGGAGATAGCCTCAGACGCAGAGTCTCCGGAGGTCCTGGGAACACAGCCTGGCGCCCATCAGGAGCTGCTGGGGCTGGACCACCTGAGTGACATGGTGGACTTCGTGGTGGCCAAGAGCACCAAGGACATTAAGGCCTTGAGCAGTGAGGAGGAGGAGGAGGAGGAGGAGGAGGAGGAGGAGGAAGAGGAAGAGGAGGAAGAGGAGGAAATGGGTGCTGCCCAGGAGCCCGAGAGCCTCCTGCCGCCCTCTGTGCTGGACCAGGCCAGCGTCATTGCTGAGCGGTTCGTCAGCAGCTTCTCTCGGCGGAGCAGCCTGGCCCTGGAGGACGGCAAGTCCACCGGCTTCGGGACCCCGAGGCTGACCAGCCGGAGCAGCAGTGTGCTCAGCCTGGAGGGCAGCGAGAAGGGCCTGGCCCGGTGTGGCAGCACCACAGACTCCCTTAGCTCTCAGCTCCCCCTGGAAGTGGACCTCAGTGTGGAGGTGGCCCTAGAGAGTGGCCCTCCTGTCAATGGGACGGAGCCCCCAAGCCCGGGCTGCTCAGTGGAGACCGACAGGTCTTCCTGCAAAAAGAAGGAATTGATGCTCTCCACTCGAGACCGGCTGCTGTTGGACAAAATCAAGAGCTACTATGAAAATGCCGAGCACCATGATGCAGGCTTTAGCATCCGGCGCCGGGAGAGCCTCTCCTACATCCCCAAAGGCCTGGTGAGAAACTCAGTCTCCAGGTTCAACAACCTTCCCAGGCAGGACCCAGAGCCAGTGGCCCCATTGGGGCACAAGAGACAGTTGGGTGCCAGGCCGGCTTCATGGGCCCTGTTTGACCTCCCAGGACCAGGCCCGGCGGGTGCAGGTGCTGGGGACCCAGCTCCTATCACAGACACGGAGTTCCGCCCGTCTTCAGAGATTGTGAAGATCTGGGAGGGGATGGAGTCTTCGGGGGGGAGCCCTCAGAAGGGGCCAGGCCAAGGCCAGGCCAATGGCTTTGACCTGCATGAGCCGCTCTTCATCCTGGAGGAGCATGAGCTGGGAGCCATCACGGAAGAGTCGGCAGCTGCCTCACCGGAGAGCACCTCCCCCACCCAGCGGCCGAGCCCGGCCCACCTGGCGCGGGAGCTGAAGCAGCTGGTGAAGGAGCTGAGCAGCGGCTCCCAGGGAGAGCTGGTGGCCCCGCTGCACCCCCGCATCGTGCAGCTCTCCCACATGATGGACAGCCACGTGAGTGAGCAAGTCAAGAACAAGGTCTACCAGCTGGCCCGCCAGTACAGCCTCCGGATTAAGAGCAAGATGGGGACAGCCAGGCCACCGCTGCAGTGGGAAGACGCAGCTTCCACCATTCCCCGCCTGCAGGAGGAGGTTGGAGTGCAGTCGGGTGGCAAAGGTATGATGGGGGAGGGAGCGGGCCCCTCCCACACGTCAGGGTGGAAGAGCCTTTTAGGAGCCACTTGGCTTTTGAGGGAAAGTGACCCCTAAAGAACCTCTACCACCTGGCAGGTGGGGCTCAGTGGCTGAATGTCGACCCATGCACCAAGAAGTCGCCTGGTTAATTCCCGGTCAGGGCACATGCCCGGGTTGTGGGCCCGATCCCCAGTGGGGGGCATGCAGGAGGCAGCCAGTAGATGTTCTCTCTCACTGATGGTTCCATCTCTCTCTCCCTCTCTGTTCCTCTCACTAAAATCAATAAAGAAAAAAAAATTTTTTTAAAAAAGAACCTCCACCAAAGAGAGTGATGGACCCCACACAGGGCTAGGGTGAGCCCCGGCACCTGGGCTAATGCCGAGGCCCCACATGGGGCCCTGACGGAGCCCTTTCGCTGCCCTCCCCAGCCCTTCCCGTGGAGCAGGGACCTCAGGAGGAAGTGTAGCCATGTCCCCGCTTTTCCAGGAGAGCAGGAGCTCTCATCTTCTTCCTTTGACTCTTGCCTTGTCCACTGCCTTTTCCTTCCTTCCTCCCTCCCTCCCTTCCTTCCCTCCCTCCCTCCCTTCCTTCCCTCCCTCCCTCCCTCCCTCCCTCCCTTCCTCCCTCCCTTCCTCCCTTCCTCCCTTTCTTTTCTTTTCCTCACCCGAAGACATTTCTCCATTTTTTATTCAGATAGAGTGGGAGGGAGAGAGAGAAACATCGACGTGAAAGGAACACATCGAGTGGCTGCCACCCGCACGACCCATCCAGGGCCGGGGACAAACTGCAACCGAGGTACGTGCCCTTAGCGGGAACCGAAACTGGGTCTCTCTGGACCGCAGGCTGACGCTTTAACTGCTGAGCCAAACCGGGCAGGGCCCACTGCCTTTTCTTTATTCTCCTTATTACCCCCTCCTTTTTAAAAATATTTAAAAACAAATTATCTCCTTTATTGATTTTAAAGAGAGGAAGGGAGAGGGAAAGAGGAACATCGATGAGAGAGAACATGGATGGGCCGCCTCCTGCGTGCCCCCACGGGATCAGGCCCACAACCGGGGTGTGTGCCCTGACCGGCATCGAACCTGCGACCTCTTGGTGCAGGGTCGACGCTCAGCCACTGAGCCGCACTGGCCAGCTCCATTCCCCTTTGATCAAAGGGCTGTAGATGGTAAATGGGATTTCTCTTCCATCATCACACCCAAAACCCCACCAGCCAGCCTTGCCCAGACCTGAGCGGAAGGCAGTTCCAGGCCTCTTGGCTCAGCTCCCGCTGGTGACTCAGGCCGCGCTCTCTCCTCAGGTAGGAGAAGGCCGGTGCTGTCCCTGCTCCACAAGCAGCTGCTGGTCCCGGAGCACAGCCCGCCTAAGCCCTGCGCTGCCGGGGAGACGGCGCTGCGGAGTTTCTCCTTCAGCCCCTCTGCTGCCAACTCGAGGACCCCTTCTCCGGGGGCCCGGCCCCCCACGCGAAGCCCCCTCAGCCCCTTGGACACTGAGACCTTCGACTGGCCTGACGTCCGCGAGCTCTGCTCCAAGTACTCCTCCCAGGATGAGGCGGCCCAGGCTGAGGGCCGCCGGCCCCGCGGGCCACCCGTCAACCGGAGCCACTCAGTGCCGAACATGGTGGAGCCCCCTCTGTCGGGCAGGGTGGGCCGCTGCTGCAGCCTGAGCGCCAAGAGGGGCCGTGCAGGCCCAGAGGCCGCCCAGCCCCCGCCCCCCAGGGGCCTGCCCCAAGGCAGGCCAGACAGAGAGGAGGCCCTGCACGTCACCGCCGACCTCACCCTGGAGGACAACCGGCGGGTGATCGTCATGGAGAAGGGGCCCCAGCCTGGCCCCGCTGTGGGGCTGGAGGGGAGCAGTGGCCCAGGACCAAGCTCACCCCCAGCCATGGCGGGGCAGGGCCAGGATTCGCAGGAGTTTGCAGAGTACCGGCCGAAGGGAGAGGGTCCCAGGGACCCAGTGGACCCCAACCAGCAAGGCCGAGTGAGGAACCTGAGGGAGAAATTCCAGGCCTTGAACTCTGTGGGTTGACTCTTGAGTCCCGGGGGAGGGAGAGCTGGGGACAGGGAGGGCCCTTGGCATATGCCTACAAGCCTGGGCCCTCGGAAAGGCTGTGCCTGGGAAGACGGCTCCGTATACGCAGCAGGTGCATGGCGACCTTCCACAGGCCCAGATGAGCCCTCTTCCCTCTCCGGCCAGTGTGGCCACTTGCCTTGTATATAGTTCTCTGGTAAGAAGCCAAATATTTAAGCTCACCTCTTCCCAGGGAGAGCAAGCCCTGCTCAGGCCTCCGGCGTTGGCTGGCCACTGCCAGACGGGAGCCCAGACAGACGCCGCGGCACGGTGGCCCGGAGAGGCTCGGCTCTCTAACTGCCTCTCCTTAGGGTCCAGGCAGGACCGAAGTCCGTAATTTATTGCTTTCCATCCTGGGGTGTGTCTGTGCGCCCGCGTGAGTGTGTTTTCTGTCGTTGATTCCCCTCCCGGGAAGAATGTAACGGACTCATTCAGGTACTTGTGTGGGTTGTCTCGCTGACCCTGTGGTTTTCGCTAATGTACACACATTTCATTATTTGCCAATGGTGCAATAACCACTGCTGACCAACCGACCTGTGTGTGGCCTCATCACCGGGCCTGGCGGGATGGGGAGAGCTGGCCGTGCAGGGTGTCGCGGGGGAGGTGCTAGCTCTCGCGCTCGCTCGTCCACTGCCTGTGCTCAGAAGCACCAGGTACCGGGGTGCTTGTGGGGGAGGGTGGGCAACAGGATGGGGGGGCTTGTTCCTGGCTACTCCAGTCCCATGGGCTTCTCTGTGAACCCCTAGCCTGGCATCCTGTTTTGGGGTCAGGGGCATCATGCCAGCCTTGAGCTCTTTTCCTCAAGGGCCAAAGTTGGACTAAAGGAAGTAGGGGTGGGAGGAGGGCAGTGGAGGGAACATTTTCTAAGGCAGACGTCTCCAGCATCTGGTTCCTCTCGCTGTTCTCTGCTCTCGTTCCCAGGAGACATCCCGGGGGCGAGGAGGGTTCTGCACTGGAGCCCTGAAGTGTCCTCAGGTGCTCGGAGCACTGGGCGGAGCGCAGGCGTGTTTTCTGGGCTGCGGCCTCAGCCTTCGTCCCACCCGCAGTCCTTCCAAGGGACTGACAGTGCCTCCCTGTTTCTAGTTGGGTTCTGCCCTGTCTCCGTGGTGGACCAGCCTTGTCTGTCCTGTTTCTTCTGTTGGGCCTGAGAGGAGGGCTGCAGGGCCCAGGTGGTAGAACTGTCCTCAAGTGTCCCCACAGGTCTGCTGGTTCAGGACCTCCTGAGTCTTCCGACCTCGAAGGACAGACAACCTGAGGATGGGTGTGCAGAGGCTGTTGACATCAAGGGAAGCTCAGAGGCTAGCGGGGCCTCCTGGGCGGAAGCAGACAGGCCAGAGCTAGCCTGTGTTCTGCCAGCCGCCCTGCACGTTCTCTGGCCACTGCCACCGCCACCGAGGAGGGAGCTGGCTTCAACCAGGCAGGCCTAGGGTTATGGTATTGAGTGCTCACAGACTAACGGAGAGTCAGGTGTTGGTCCCAGCCCTGCCGTTAACAGCTGGGTCACCTAAACTGGCATGTCCCTCACCTGGAAACGGAAGCAGATGGGTGATTTGCTGCTTCTCAAACTCCCTGACTCAGGCTCTTCAGGGAGTGGGCCTGGGAAGTTTAGTGAACACTTTCCCCAGGTGATTCTTACACCACCGTCTGGATACCTCTGGGATCTGCAGTGCTTCTCACTGGCTGCCCATGGGCATCGGCGTGGGGCCCTTTGGAAAATGGCTGTGCCTACATTCCGTCCACCCAGATCGCATGAAAGCTCCCCTTGGGAGATGAAGCACCAGCCTGGCGATTCTGGTGGTTCTGATCCAGCCAGGATCTCCGACCCGAGCTCCGGGGGGGCCTGCGGCAGGCCCTCCAGATGGTTGACTGCATGGCCAGGTGAGCTTTGATCAGGGTCTCAGGTGAAGCGCAGGGCTAGGTGCTGGCAGAGTCATCCCGGGGAGTCGAGCTTGGACACAGCTCCCCGCTCGCTCGCTCGCTCACTCAGCTAGCCCTCCTTGGCCCACGTCACAGGGAAACAGGGCTTGTCCGATAAGAAATGGAGAGACGTCTGGAGCGTTATTGATTTATTAGAAAAACTAGTAAATGGGTTTCTGTTTGGTGGAAGCACATTTCAGCAGGTAGACGAGGCCCCGCCGGCCCCAGGTCGCATGGTCTGTGCCCAACAGGGTTGCCGTCCTCTGTTGCTGCCGCCTCCGTCGTGTCCTCCCTGAGCTTGCTTGTCCAAGGGACCAAGCCCTGTGGCCTTTTGGCTCTCTGCCCCTCCCACTGAAGGGAGGAGGGGGATCCAGGACCAGCCTCGGGGACCCTAGTTGCCCTCTAACAGGCAGGAAGTAAGTGGTGTGGGTGGGAGCTGAGCCTTCTGCAGGCCTCCTGTGGTGGGTGCTGGTGGGGGGAGGGAAGCCCAGGAGCCTCCGCAGCCCCCTCAGCCAGAGTCGGGGATGAAGGGGAAGGAGGACCACCTGACTGCCCAGAGGCGCTTCCTCCCAACGGCCCTGGGAGGAAGCCTGTTATGCTGGTGTGGACGAGCTGGGTCAGCCCAGTTTGGGAACACTGTTAAGACTGCAGAGTAGAAAATGTGAGGAGGACCAAAAACAAAACACCTTGCCAGGTCACCAGGAGCCCCGTCCTCATGTAGCCCAGTCTCCCAAAGCTGGGGCCTGCAGTTCCAGTCCAGTTGGTCGAGGGGCTCGGGCCTGGATGATGGAGGGGGTGTGGGAGCTGGCAGTCCATGGCGGGTCACATGCAGCTGGCTGCCCTTGCTGGTCCGGGGACCTGGTTAGTGATCCTAGTGCTGCCTCTGGGGCCCCTTCTTTCTTGGACTGTGGAGTTCTTGTTGGAGGTCCCTCGTGCAGGTGCTTTGGCACACATGGAGGGGAGAGGGGCCCTTGGCCCCTGGCTCCCTCGAGACTGGCCCAGGGGAGCAGTGGAGGGGGCTCTGTTCTTGAGCAAGGACTGTGCCATCTTCCCGGGAGCAGGACAGGCCCTCAGCAGTCACCTCGCTGCCTCCTGCCTTGGTCTCCCCAGGCGGACGAAGAGGCTGGTGAATGGTCTAGACTATGTTCGCTACAGGGTCAAGTGCACAGAGGCCAAATGAAGACCCTAGCAACAGGTGGGACCACCTGATCTGGGGGTGTTGGGCCCCCTGGGAGAGCTGCCCTCCTGTGTTGTGGTTCTTGTCTGCTCAAGTCAGCTTCACCTTGACAGGGTCTCGGTCCCCGAGGTGTGCCCACACTGGTGCTCCTGCGAAGGCCTAGGAACGCTGGACACCCGCCCCTGTGGTTTCCACCCCGAGCCTCCCCACATCCGGAGGGATCATCTCTGTGTGTCTGAGGCTCCTTCCTGGGGGGAGGGTGGTAGAAGCGGTAGCTATAGCCCCAAGGGGCCTTTATGGGCCCCCCGGGACATGCCTACTGCCACCAACTTGACTCCTCTTTGGAACCTAACCCCAGGTAGGACACTGGGCTGGAGCTGTATTGCTTGTGAAGAGTGGTGGGTCCCTGCGGGACAGGTGCCTCTGCTCTCCAGAAGGCCGCCTCGGCAGCACAGGGGAGGCTGTCCCTGCGGATCTAGGCTTCAGGGCCCTTGGCTGTGCTTGGGGACGGGGTGTGACTTCTGCACCCATGTAACTCCCCCAAGACCCAAGGCCAGGACCTTTAGGAGCTGCGCAAGGGGGGGCACCTCTTCATGGCTCTGGGCCTAGCGTTTGTTCCAGCTGTCCCTGGGTGTGTGGTGAGGGTGGTGACACCCAGGTGAGGCCATGCTGCCACCCCAGGGCGATAGGTCCTAATGAACTTGGCCGTCTGTCCAGCCAGTACCCTCAGATGCTACCAGGTGTAGACAATACACATCGGGCATTTAGCTTTGGGATGCTTTACTCCAGGTGCTGGGCTGTCCATCTGGTGTCTGGGGACCGTGCTAAGGGGTCCTGGGTCTGAGTCGAATATTGCTGGTTCAGCTGCTACTGGGAGGGGCTCCCAGGTGGAGAGGCGGTGCCTTAGGCAGTGTCAGGACTTGTCTACCTCCTTCAGGTCCGAGTTCCAGCCCTGAGCTTTCTCTGAGGTTTTAGGACTGGCTAGAGCTTCCTGATCCTTCTACCACTTAAGGTGGTAGCAAAGGGTGCTGGAGGCAGCGGGAGGCCCTTGCACGTAGGACCCACAGACCTGGGAGGGTGCCCCCCACTGTTTTTGGCGGGGAGAGGGATGTGGTGGCCCCTGAGGTGACAGTCCCAGTTCTGAGAAAGCCCAGTGGGGAGGAGGGCCAGTGTCCCCTCGGTCCCCAGCAGCCCTTTCCCCAGAGCCGGGGCCCTGCCGCCTACCTGAGGGCTCCTTGCTCATGCCCCAGGGGTGGGTCAGGTATTTCCAGTGGTCTCTTCCCTTGCCCTGGTTTTGATCAAGTCAGGGGTGACCTCACACAAGACTTGTTTTGGGAGTGGGCAGCATCTGAAGAACCCATCAGCCTTCTCTACCTTTTATGGGGTTTGGGGGGGCTGGTGCATCCTCAGCCCAAGAATGGGGTGGGGAAGAGGGCATGGCCTGGGAAAACCGTATCCTGCCCCCGGGCCTGGAGGCCCGGTGAAGCTGGGAGCCTCTGGCCCTGGGGCCGCTCTGCAGATGGTGGGGAGCAGGCGTCCGGCCGGCGGGTGACGGCAGCGAGTGCAGCGCAGCGTGGGCCCTGGCAGGCAGCAGGGCGGGAGGAGGGCTGTGGCCAAGGCCAAGGCCACCGAGGGCGCCAGCCTGTGTCCTGGGCAGTCGAGGGAGGCACTGCGGCACCCGCAGCCCGGCCCCACCAGTGGGGCGCCAGAGAGGCTACTTCTTTTTGGGGAAGAAGCTGAATCTCTTTTCCTTGTCTTTCTTGCCGAGGCTGGTGTCAGGGCCGGTGATGGAGGGCAAGGGCAGGCTCTGGGCCTTGACGCGGACGCTCTGGGACTCGTTGATGGCGGTGCTCACGCCCTGCAGCCAGGACAGCATCTCCGCCTGCAGGGCGGGGGGTCAGGGCCTCACACCTCCCCAGGGCCCACCCAGAGGAGGGGAGGTGAGACTAGGACTGCCCTGCACTTACCTCATCCTTGCCGTGGAAGAGCCACTCGCTGCCATTGCTCAGCCTATAGGAGGACAAAGGGTCCCTGTCCTGTGGCCACCTCTGGAACCCCGTGCCGGGCAGACGGCTGGCTCCGACCCCACAGCCCCCCTCAGGCACATGGCATCTTCTGCGAGAGGTCAGAATCTGGCCTCTTTGATTAAAAAAATCCCCGAGGGGCAGCTCAGGCACGGAGCCAGCCCCACGCACAGGGCCGCTGTCCAGCCGCGAATGCGAAGTCAAACCACCAGGGACGGGCCGTGGACAGGAGGGGCCTCACCTCAGTTTGAAGACATGCTTCTTCTTCTTGTAGTTGGCTGCAATCTCACAGATGGCATGTCTCAGGGCCAGGGGTTCCTCCCCGTGGTAGGGCACCCCCAGGGCCAGGTTCTTGGCATCTTTGTAGAAAGTCAACTCGCTATTCCTGAGCACACAGTACAGGCTGTTCCAGGACCTGCAAGATGCGGTGGGCAGGTCACCCCGTCCCGATACAGCGTCTCCCGGCGC